CTGCGCCTTATAGGCTGAGGTGGCTGTGTATTCGCCGTGGTTGTTGAGCTTCCAGGTGATCTGGTCTTCATGTTCCGTGAAGTGTACATTCCGAACGGCGCTCCAAATAGTGATGAGCTCGTCAATCAGATCCGTTGTCCATCCTTCGTTTGTTGGTAGAGCAAGGTCGTGCAGCCATTGGTATGCTAAAGCGGCATGTTTGAGGGACCTGCTCTTTTTCCTAGAGGCCGCGTGGACTAGCGGTGCGACATCCTTCAATCTTCTCCCTTGGACTCACGTGTTGGGGATCAGAGAACTTCGGGTGTGTTTAGTTTATATCAAAATTGGAAGTTTGGTTGAAATTGAAACGATGTGATGGAAAAATTGGAAGTTTGTGTGTAGAAAAGTTTTCATGTAATGAAAAAGTTGAAAGTTTTAAAAAATATTTTGGAACTAAACACGGCGTCCATGTTGAGTTGAGCTCCGTTTCGTTTCCTTCTCACAGCTCGGGGGCAGCCGCAGCGCGTGTGATGCTGATGCCACGCAACGGCGCGAACACAGCCAAAGCCAAGCCGCGTAGCCGCTTGATTAACAGTGCAGTGCAGGCAAGGGGTAAAAATCGAGAAAATTGACATTTAGCCATTCTCAGGGTGGGGTTTCGCCAGAATGCCATCGCCAAATGTGGCTTCGTTATAATGCCATCTTCAAACGACCCCATCTTGCCATACTGCCATTTCAACCAATTTTGATTATTTGCAAATATTTTCCACTGTTTTGCTTATTTGGTTTGACCCAAATGCCCTTGCCTCAGCCGTGGGGCCCACTTGCCAGGAGCGTCTTCCACCTCCGTCCGCCACCATCCTTCCCTCTCTCCGGTGAACTCATGCCCCAAATTGACCTCCCTCCTCGGTTGCTCTCGCCCCAAATTAAATGCAAAAATCGGTTCCTCTCGTCCTCCTCATCAATTCCCCCAACAAATCCCACTCAAATCGGCTTAACTCAGTGGTGGATTTTGAAGTCCCTCTTCAATGGCGAGCTCCACCATAGCCAGCGTCGATCTCTCTCCCCGACGAGGTTGGAGCGGGCAAGCGGCTGGACGCCGTGGAGTGGAGCTGGCTACGGCTGCACGCGCGAGCAGGTTGCCTCGACGAGGAGCTCCGCCGCGAGTCGCTGCCCACGTCGAGGAGCTCATCGGAGAAGGAAGTGACGCCGTGGCGCGCGGTCAGGTCGAGCGCTTGGTGCGCCACGCCGCCGAGCCGAACCGTCGTCCTCGTCCACGCCGACGCCTTCCCCGTTCCCAGTCGCGCCGCCGTGCCGCCTTCCCCGTTCCCGGTCACCATCGCCACCGCCGGAAACCTACGCGCGAACCCGGTGAGCTACGCCGTCGAGCTGGTGAGGGCGCCGAAGGGCGGCGTCGGTGCCATCCCCGGCGTGGCCAGCTTTCTCATCCCGTAGCGGTTCAGCGAAGGTCCTGAGCTGCGCCGGCGCCGCCCACCATCTGCAACGAAGAGAGCAAGAGGTAGGAGAAGAGAGATGAGATAGGATCCAAGGGTATTTTGGTCATCTCAACAAGAAAAAATCATTAAACTGAGAAGAAATGGATGAAATGACATTGTAACATGTTGCCCCTGTTTGAGGGTGACATTTTAACGAAACCACTTTTGGGAGTGTCATTCCAGCGAAACCCCGTTTTGACAGTGGCAAAATGTCAATTTTCTCGTAAAAATCACCAAAATTATCGATATTTGGTTACGAGCTTGGTGGCTCGACGACGTTTGAAAGCGAGGCGATGCGATGGCGTCCGCGTCTCGTTTCTTTCTTTGGGCCCAGCTTGGCCACGTACGTCGTACGTATCGCGACGTACGACACAGTGCAGCCGCAAAAAGGCCTCCGCATCGGCAGGGCCCAAGTGTAAAACGTGCTTTCGGTGCGCCATCATACGGCACGCGGTACGGTACAAACAGCGAATTCCATGTACCGAAGTAATTTGCTGTTGTATAGCTTGGACAATTTGTTAGGATTTACCAGGTACTACCTCCATATTTTAATATATGGCGCCGTTGACTTTTTTCCAACGTTTGACTATTCGTCTTATTTAAAAAAATTATGTAATTATCATTTTTTTACTGTGACTCATCATCCAATATTCTTTAAGCATGACATAAATATTTTCATATTTGCACCAAAATTTTAAATAAAACGAATGGTCAAACGTTAGTCGAAAAGTCAACGGCGTCGTACATTAAAATACGGAGAGAGTACGTAATTTGTTAGACCGGATAGATTTATATCATTGGAAAAAAAAAGGAGATGTGTTAAGATGGCACTCCAAGTGGTGCTTCAGGTGGCTTAAAAAAAGCTACTACTCACCAGCGGCTAAATCATATTTTCACTGGTGGCCAAAGGTAAGTGAAAATAGAGTATTTTCACAAGCAAGGATTAGCCACTTGCAAAAATATATTTTCGGAAAGTCTAAAAAACTGTCGACACATTTTTCTTTAGAAATATGTCGATTTCTGATCCATTAGATCAACTGTAGGATTCGTGCTATTTTGGTTGACGAAAATAAAATTGTACTGTAAAGAATCGAACCTAGGATCTGACTTGTCCAGCGGCCCTGACCAACTGATCGAGCAAAGATTTTGGCTTGAATTGAAATTACATACTAATTACACTTAAATTACATACTATTTACATATGTAATTTAGAAACTTACATTGTAAATACACTAAAATTACATATGTAATTTAGAGACTTACATATGTAATTTTAGGACTTACATTATAAATACACTAAAATTATATATGTAATTTATGGACTTACAATATAAATACATACTGACTATTTTTTGGTAAAAAATATAGCGCCATAAATATAGCTACTCCCTATATTTTTTACTGACAGGTATCTAAAAAGCAACATTTGCCAAAATCAATATTAACAGACGAAATGCTTAACCCACCTGCGACACAAAATATTTTTGGCACGAAAAAAAATCAGCAAATCCTCCAAAATCCCCTACCACCCATAATCCATTCACCAATCACAACTTCCATCACAAACCTCATAATCCATTCAACAAATTCATTAACAAACTTTATAATCCATTTACAAATTACAAATTCATCACAAAGAGTGATCAGAGAGAGGATCTCGGAAAAATTCATTGCCGAAAATCAGTAGAAGAGGGAGGAAGGTGTTCAAATTTTGCTTTTTCACAATTAAGCACACGAGCAGGTTTTTTTTGACAACTTTATTGACTGCCTGCCAAGAGAGTAGTATACAAACTGTCTATTCTTTTTGAAGGAATGGAAATATGGAATGATGTATGAATACGCACGCTTCTTAGGCTCTTAAACGATGTTTTTTATAATTTTTTTTATATAAATGAATTCTTATGAAAATGTTTTAAATCTAATTTTCAACTTTGTAATATTTAATTTATTCATCCCACTCAAATATTCCAAATCATTCATCAATTTAACCACATTGGAAAAAAATGAATAGGGGCCAATTTGGCCAAGAATCAAAAAACAAAGTGAAGGCATGCAAAAAAGTTGACCGGCATATATCGGCCGTCCGATCTGCGATGAACGGTTGCTAAGCCGACCTCGAGCCGTCAGACCCACATTAGGGCGCTCTCTGCAGTTTGAATCGCATGGACGCTCCTATTATTCCGGGGTGGGCCTGGATGCAGCCTCAAAAGCCTGCGTTGGTCGTGCAGGCCGAGCAAACTGCCACTTACAAGCGGGCCCATCTCCCCCTTCCCGGCCAGGCCTGCACGTATCTCTTCCTCCTGCCATTCACGTACCGGCTTAACCCTGACACGTGGGCCCGACAACATCGTGCCACAAAGTACACATCCTGATTCCCTTTTAATGGGGCATAATGTTGCGTTTAAACTCGATCGATCGATCGATCGACCATGTATATAACTATATGTGTACGGACTCGAGTATACATTCATGCATGTACATGTGCGTTTTTGTACGATGTGACAGTGAGCGAAAGGCCGGTCTGATCGTTCGGCCTATAGCAGCAACTAAAATTAATTTATATGTAAACATTTTATATCTACGTACTTAATTGCTTAATTGCCTATAGTACCAGTCTGTATTATATTATAAGATGTTTTGATTTTCTCCTAAGTAAAAAAGACAATACCACCAACATTTTGAACCCAAAATAAACATATTATCAAAATATATTTAATATTAGATTTAGTGAAACTAATTTGTATTATAGATGTTATTAATTTTTTTATAAACTTAATCATAACTAAAATGGTTTGATTAGAAAAGATGTCAAAGCGTATTATAAGTATGAAACTGAGGGAATAACGTTGAAAATCAACAAATAATGATAACAGATTTAAAGTAAGTTTAAAATTAAGTTTTAAAATTTAATACTATTTTTTTTGTGGCTGATAAGTTAAAAGGCAAAACATGGAGGCGTCTCTTGACCTAGGATGTCAACAAAGACAAATAATAGCATCGCTAGATAGCAGTGCTGGAAGTAGGCACCAATAGCTCGATGATTGCATCAGAAAGAGCGATGCTAAAGGCTTTCCCTAATCCCTTTCTTTTCGAGCGGCCTATGCTAACTAATAATGTACATAACGCAAAGCTAATTTCGCTCCACTTGAAATGCTACAGTCTGCAATGATAGCGTTGCTCGCCTTTGATATTTGATGATACTACTACTACTGCTGCTACTGTGTGTTGTGCCGTGTCGACCCCAGTGGAGGAGAGTGAGGGGTCCAAAGAATCCAAAAAATGCCCGGCCCATCAGCCTAATTCTCTCGTTTTATTTTTCTTTTCTGAAAAAAAAGAGCCTAAATACGTCACGTAATCCCCTCTCTCTCTCTCTCCCCGGATATTTTTATCCATTGGGTAGCCCCCAAGAAAAAGCATGGACCCGGACCAGAACCCGCAAAACCCAGCCACGTAAGCAGCCACAGCAGCACGGGCACAGCCAGAGCTGAAGAAGAACTGATCGATAACGAGAGCGACACAGATCGATGAGAAGAAGTACAGGTACTAGGATGAATTAGCAGATGGATTACAACAAGCACACCGCTGTACAAAAAAAAAACAAAAAGAAGAGAAAAGAAAACAACATATGCTGAAGCGAAGAAGAAGAAGGAAGAAGAAAAAAAAAACTGAAGTTGAGACATGACAAAAGCACGAGCACCTACCGGCTCGACGCGACAGAGTAGTCCTAGCAGTTATAAATCCGGGCGCGGCTCGATCTTGAGCCGCGATGTGGTGGTGAGGTGAGGTAGGTGGGGTCTTCAAAGTTTGGAGGATCTTGGCGGCGGCGGCGGCCGCCGCCGTCGTGCCGGAGCAAGCGGCGGCTACTCGTCCGGCACTCGGTACGCGTCGGCGGTGACCTCCGTCAGCCACAACCCAGGGAACAGCGACTGCACATGAAACAGTAGCAACCACTGTGAGTTTGAGTTTGGATTGCAGGAGTGCCATTCTTGCACACAACAATTTAGGTTTAATAAAATATTAAGTCTAAGCATACGCTTAAAGCTGTATTGTATCGAGGGAATAAATAAGAGGAGGGCTAATTGGGTGATTAATTAAATAATGGTGGTTTGGGAGGGGGAGGGGGAGGGGTAGTGTGGGGAATTCGCCTTACATCGAGCTGCCGCTGTACGACGCGCGGCCGCTTCCTCGGCCGCCGCCGCGGCCGTGAGCCGGTCAGCGCGTAGATGTCCTCCTCGATCTCCTCCGGCGTGAGCGCCACCGAGAACGGCGCGCGCTTCCGGCGCCGCGACGACGACGGCACCGGCACCGCCGCCGCCGCCGCCCACGACATGGAGGCGGCTGGGCGCCGCCGCGTCCGCTGCCGAAGGTTCCACGGCCTCGCTGCACCGTCGGCTTGCGGCTGCGCCATGGGGAGAAGTGGAGGCGGAGGCGGAGGCGGAGGCGGCGCCTTGAGCTCGGGCTCCGAGTCCGCCTCCGCGGGTAGGCTCTCGGGCTTCGTCGTCGTCGTCGGCGGCGGCGGCGGCGGAGGCGGCGGGGGTGGGGGGCTAGGCTGGGGCACGCGGAGACGGTCGGCGGCGTCTCGTAGGTGGCCCATGAGCTTAACCCGGAGCTCCTCGATCCCACCGTCGAAGGGATCCTCGCCGACGACGACCTGCACGGCGGCGGCGGCGGCGGCGGCGCCGCCGCCGCCGCCCCTACGGTGAGACGACGAGCGTCGACGATCGCGCGTGGCGGCGTCCCCACCCGCCGGTAACGCTACCACCGGGAGCACCGTCGGCGGCAAGCGGTGCGCGGGAGTTGGCGGCGGCGGCGGCGGCTGCCCCCACGGCTCGAGGTGGTGCGTCGACGTCGCCGCGGGCGGCTTCGCCCGCGGATCTGCCGTCGCCGCCATGGCCCTGCTTGTCTTCACCAGCCGCGGCGGCGCTGCTCGGAGAGGCGGCGGCGGCGGCCGAGTCGACGAGCGGCAGAGAGAGAGAGAGAGAGAAAAGGCAGAGAAGGTTTTGAGGCCACAGGAGGTGGGGTCGCGCTCGCGTTTTGTTACCGTCGCTCGCAGCGCCGAAGTGGCGTGTGGTGCCCGAGTGGCATTCTCGTCATTTCCATGCCACGGACTCGGGGCGCCCGAGGTTTACGCCATCCGAAACCCGCTTTACCCTTTTACTCCCACCGACGGGTGGGGCCCCAGATCACCAGGGTCCCACAAGTCATCGACGTGGAGGGGCGATACGTGTGGTCCACGCGGGCGAGGAGGCCAATCTCCAGCCCACCAAACGGGGATGGAAACTGGCGTTAGCCATGTCCGTGAGGGCGAGAGGGGGGGTGGGGGTGGGGCCCACCGCGTCAGGGACCGACCGGACCGTCCGTCCATGCAGCACGGCACGGGTCCTCGTACGATCGGATTTTCGGTGTGGGCCCGGCGTGTCAGTTTTGATGGTGTGGTTTCACGCCGTCCGGCCCTGTGCTCCTGGACTCGGTCTACTCTTTCCCCGGCGCGGCAAACGGTGCGGGACCCCACCGGCCAGTGACAGCGGCAGCAGCCACAACACTGCACTGCGCTAGCTGCACTCCGACCCTCCTGGATGCTCTAGTCCTGTTGCTTGTTGCTGCCCACAAGTCACACAAGCTTTTTGGCACCCTTTGCACGCTTGTCATGTCACTGCTAGTCACACTGCAATGAGATTACAGGCCTATGATTGTCAACCAAAATTTAAATTATTAACCTTAAATTTGAATTTTTTTTCATCAAAATTTATTTTCCAGCTTTTACTTTTAGATCGCTACGAATACGTATATAAAAGTTTTATTTACAAATTACTATTCTTTTGCAAATATGTTGTTTCGTTTATTAAGCGAAATGTTGTTTCGTTTATTAAGAGAAACGATGGGTCTGTACACTCTCGGCCTCATAAAAAATAAATACAAAACCAAATATAGACTATGTTCATTTTTTTTAATAAGAAAATATAGATTATGTTCATATTCATAATCAGAAGCAGTCTTTTTTTTCATTTTCTTTTAAAAAAAGGAAAGTGATGTTTTGATCATTGAATTGATCAGTTAACCAACCATACTCCCTATACTCGTACTTGCCCGATTGAACAGTAGCACGAGTAATTTTCGAAGAGTACGTGGTGTACTATCAGTATCTTAAATTGAACCATGCCAGCTAGTAGTAGCTCAGTATGAAGAGAGGATTGTTCTAACCTCAGGTAGATCGTACTCCGGTCAAATGCGAATTCCTTCAGATGTTTTACTACTACCAATCTGCAAGCACAGCACAGCCGCACGGCCGGTTGATCGATCGATCGATCGCCTGAAACGAGGAGTTGAAGGGAAGAAAAGCGTCGCGTACGAGAGGTTTTATGGGATGGGGGTGCGAGTTGTCGTCGCGATGGTGGTGAATTGTGGAAGCGTCAACCTTCCAAAGCTTTGGCTTGTTTGGGCGATCGGCGAATTGCATGTTCGTTGGTGAAATACTAACACGTGCACGGGAAGGAGGAACGGTCAACGGGGATAGTATATCCCGGGCAAGGCCACCGCGTCATCTCTGGTCAAAATGTTCTCTTTTCTCTCATTTTCTTTTTTTTTCTCACATTAAACTGAACAAGATTTATCAAAAAATTGAGTTTGTTTTTGAAAAAAAATGTTTGAATTTGGTGAGTTACCACGTGGTTACCGTTACCGTATCGTAGCAGTATTGTTGTCACGCCCCGAACTAGTCCCGAGCGGAACTAGCCCGTGACGCTCCAAATTAACCTGTTAATCGATACCAGTCCCAGGAAACAGTGCTGGTATCACAGGAAGACAGAATATCACAGCAACAGAGGTCTCTTTATTATAGAGTAGGAGTACAGTCATGTTGGACTGCGGACAGATCCCGAGCTCACAACTGCATTACAAAAGGGAAACGGAAGCCAAGACTTGGACCACACATCACAGGCGCGACTTGGGAACTAGGCCGAAACCCTAAAACTCATCGTAGCCGGCTTGCTCCTGGAAGAACTCCTCGTCAGCGGGATCCGCTTCATCTTCTTCAGCAACTGGGGGGGATTATTTATATAGAGCAAGGGTGAGTACAGGAGTACTCAGCAAGCCATGGGAAATAAGTGTTTAATGCAGGCTTCAAAGAAAGGCTGTTGTTTTTGCGATTGATTTTATTTAAACTCTTTTCTGAAACAACTAAGGGAGTGCTTCTCAAACGACACGGATGAGACAGTGCGTCTCGTCCGGTCGGAGTATGTGCAATGTTTCAGTCTTTTGAATTGATCAAGATTGGCACCCGGCCAACAGCTTTCAAACGGCCACCCGGGCCTGGCTGATCCCATCAGCCGCAGATTTTCCAAACATCAAACCCATTCCACAACAGCAAATTTCACAAGGCAGTAGTCAAACAAAACTACGCTAGGAATCACCTCACATCCGCCCATGACCGTGGGCACGGCTGTTCGAACAGTTTTAATAACCTCTGCAGAGGGGGTACACTTTACCCACACGACATTACTAACCCGGATCATCCAGTCCATGCAGAACGGCCACGACTAGAGACCTTAAGGCTTTCATGACAAGGCATTTCGAAAGCCGACATAGGTTCACCATATGCCAACGAGAGGAGTCCCAGACCAACACCAGATTAGGTCCCAGACCATACTGTGCCAGGAAGCCCAGGGGTCCTCCCCGACATGTCACGCCCAGAAATTCCCGAATAGAATTCCAAACAGAATGTGCATTAAAATCCCCGTCCAGGACCGGCCGGGGTACACAAACGACAATGTTGACATTCAGATCCACGTCTTATAAACATCATAAAAGTCTTACATAAATGCAGCGGAAAAAAAGAAAGACAACAGGAGCTAAGCCTTGACTAGAACTGCAGCGGGAACACCACTCCACAGGCATCCTCGACGGCACGGACGAAGCCTACTCCTCGGAGAAACCTCCATCTGACACATACTCGTACTCTGGGGTTGGGAAAAGTAGAGCAAGACCGAGTACTACCCACTGTACTCAGCAAATCATACCGGAATAGGGGTATGATGCAGGGAATTATCAAAGAAGAGCTAGAGTGGTTCATTTGCATAAAGCGAGCATTTAAAAGCAGAAGTTGAAAGATTTAAACAGTGGTAATAATTAATTAATATTAACTATCCACTGTCCAACGCTATCCCACGTTGCAACAGGCCCAACCATCCAACTAAACCATCCAAATTCAAAAGATTACACTAGGGTGAGACTAATCACGGTGAATCTGGTTGACCGCCCATAACCGCGGGCACGGCTATTCGAATAGTTTTACTCTGATCAGAGGTGTACAACTGTACCCACAAGACACAGCCCCACGAAACGTTTCCGTGCGCCGACATGCCACCACGACATACCGGAAAGAGGCCGTGACAGGACCATTCGCATAACCCCCTCTAACCAAGCACACCACACCTCAGGTTTCACCCCCACTCCTCGCAAGGCAGCGGGCAGTCCCCTCTCGTGCCTAGGTGAATCCGGAAGCCGCATAGGCCGTCGCAGGGCCCATCCAAACTCCATCATGCCCACCCTTGCCTGGATGCGTCGGCTAGAGGAAAGCTACGCTACAAGCCCAGCCGTTGCCCACGCTGGCTTGTGGTAAGTACGATAAGTTCTTCCAGGGCATCCCGCGAACCGGTCCTTAACTGCCATTGGTGCGACCAGCAAAACCATGCACCCACAGCCCACCATGTGATTTATTTTAATTAACCAACACCAAAGCGGTGGCACTAATCCAACATTACCATTAGAACCAACAGTCTAAACATTAATAGGATTCTCCCCATTGTGCACTAGTTGAACTAAGCATGGCTAAGCAATCCCTAGTCCAATCTCTAGTCATGTTATAACCCCAAGCTGACAAAGAGACATGGTACAACAATAGCATGGCTATGACAATAGGTAAACACCCCATAGAAACATTATAAAACAATGCAATATTTGAAGGAAAACAATAGAGCATTTGCGATATAGGATCAACATGTTCAAGTGACAAGCATGACTTGCCTTGCTCTGCTGCTGGAGGAACCTCGGCGACTATTTCGAAGTACACCGGAGCGTCGGAGGAACCGGAATCTAGCGACATACAAGGTAAACATTACAAACAGGCTATAAGACTACTGAAACAGGGAACAAAACCATTTTTAATGGATTCTACACATTTTTCTTGATTTACTGAGACTTGAATGGGCTTAAACGGAGCTCGGATGAATTAGTTATGAATTTTAGAAGATTCACTGTGTTTATTACTATAAAAGAAAAACCTTAAATCATTTATTGCGCAATAAATCCCAGGGCTGATGTCAGCACGGGGGGGAGAAGGCGCGGCGCCGACATGCGGGGCCCACCGGTCAGCGGCTCGGGAGAGGGAGGAAAGGGGCGCCGGCAAGCGGGCCCACTCGGCAGCGACTCAAGGGGGGAAACGGTTCACCGTGGACCGGGACCACGCGGGTGGTCCACCGCCGGTCCACGGGACCGACGGCCCAGATCACCCTCGGGGTTGATCGGATGGGCGGCGGCGACCCGGCTCGGCTTGGCTCAAGGCCGGCCCACCGGCCACGGCGATGGCGACGGCGCGCGCGCGCGAACGCGTTGCCGGCGACAGCAACCGGCGGCGGAGGCGACGGCGCAAAGGCGACGCGAAGGCGGCGGCGCTAAGCGGCGGCTAGGAAGGAGAGGGAGGGGAATAGATGGGAGAGGAAGCCTCACCGAGGGTGGCCGGCGCGGAGGAAGACGACGGCGAACGGCGACGGCAAGCCACGGGAGGACGACGGCAACCGGCGGACGGGCTTCGGGGTGCCCTAAGGAAGGAAGAGAGAGAGAGATTAGAGAGAGGGAGATGAACCACGGCGACCGGCATTCATGGCCGAAGGCGGCGGTAGAGGTTGAACTTACCGGAGCGCGAGGGGATGCGAATTCCGGCGACGAAACTCAACGGGAAAGGGGCGGCCGGGGTGGAGCTTAGCCTCGCGAACCCGACGGCGGCGACGGCGCGGTGCGGCGGCGACCCTAGCGGCCGCCGGAGTAACGGAAACGGCGGCGGCGGGTGGTTGCACGGCGCGGGAGCGATGGGGAGCACGAGGGAGTTCGGCGAAATGGGGAAAAAGCGAGAGGGGGCGACGGGGAAGCCTAAATAGGGGAGGGGAGCCCCGGACGTGGCCGGTAGGGGCGAGATTTCGCCGGCCAACGTGGGGAGTGGGGGAGGAGAGAGAGGCGGGATTCGAAAATCGAATCCCGGCCATCTTGGGCGCGGGCGCGGGCGCGAGAGAGAGGGGAGTGGGCGCGGGGGACGCGGCGCACGCGCGGGCGTGGCTGACGTGGCCCGGAGGAGGCGGAGGCGTGGGCGCGGCGGCGGTAGCGGGCGCGGTGGCGCCGGCTGGAGGAAGGAGACGGGCCCGACAGGTGGGGCCCACCTGTCGGCGTCCCGGGGAGAGAGGGAGGGGCGGCTTGGGCCGGCCCACAAGGAGGAGGGCGCGCGCGGCGGGGTGGACTGGGCCGACGGCCCAAGAAGAGGAAAAGAAGGGAAAAGGAAAAAAAAAGAAAAGGAGGAAAAGAATTTCCCTGGGATTTAAAATATTGCATGCTCGATTTTAAATGGTTAAAATTATTTCGAGAGCTCTGAAAATTCCACTAAAAATCTTGTTAGTGAATTTCGACATGTAGAACTCAAGAAAAATTCCACATGCCAATTCCGATTATTATTTGCATTGATTTAATAGGGTTTACTCTTGCTTTGCACCGGTATTTTCTTAGGGTCTCTTATTAATTCAATTTTAGGCTTAGGAGGAGAACTTCAGGGTGTGACAAACACCACCCCGGCGAATCCACATGTCTCTTAGCATCATGGCTCCCCCGATAAGCTAGTTACTCAGCCAGGGGTGTCCCATTCCACCCATGTGGTCGTACTTGTCTTATGTTCGGATGAAATTCCAAGGAAACGGTCCTTAAGTGCAAGAGCGGGAAATCGTACACCCGGTACGTTCCCCGGTCCGCGGTTTTGGAAATTCATTTAGTTCGCAAGCACCGACCCAGGTGTCGGGTTTTCCAATTGTGAATATTGGTTTCTGGTGTATGAGAAACTTAACCAAATGGTCTCTAGCGCTACTACATCCGTTTCATATTATAAGGGCAAGGTCAATATTTATTGCCACAACATAGCATTAAGGTGGACCCTATAGCAATTGACCATCGTTGTTAGTACATCACCAATATATATGGACCAACTAGTCATATAAAATAGAACTCACACAACTGGACTCTTGTTATTTCAATTTTCACAATGTATAAAGATAGCACACTATAATAAAAGAACTAATCCACCAAGGTTATTTCTTGTTGTGGCCTAGACTATATTCAATACCATAATTGTTATGGTTCACCTTAAAGACCTTAAGGCTACTTTTTTGCAACAGTATGGTTGCTCTAAGTCACTTTGACTTTTTTACTATTCAAATATTTTTAAGTTTCATCAAGTTTATAAAAAATTACAACAAAATTTTTAATACAAAACAAACATATCATATTATTGAAATGTATCAAATATTGGTTTCTATAAAACTAAACTGGTGTTGTAGATGTTGCTAAAATTTTCTATAAACTTTATCTATCTTAATTAAAGTCAAAATAACATGTAATATGAAACAAAGAATTAGTAAAATTACTTTAATACTGTTACTTTGGAAGTTTGGATGAATGCAGAGCAGCATGAGGAGAATCGTTCATTCCGATCTCATCGGCAGCAAAACAGCAAAAAAGTAGAATAAATGAAGAGAGGAAAAAGAACTGTTTGGAAGCAGGATCTCAGCTTAATTATGATGGGCAGGCAATAAATTGTCTAAATCTTTTTCTGAATGAGGACCGTTGAAATCAATTAAAGGAGGGATAGCAAGTGTCTGCTTGATTTAATTCTGAATAAATGAAATAGATCTGTTTGTCCAAGATAACGCAACTCTCCCGCATATTCTCTTGGAAAAAATATGAGAAGAAATATTCAGGAAATGAGGAGGAGGAGCACATGTTTCCCAGACATGAACAGTTGAAGAGCTGTGTATCATGGGTGCGGTTGTGCACTTGTGCTAGTGGAAGCTTCATCCGCTGTAGCGAGCATGTAATAGAATATTAGCAAGCAGCATCTCATAAACAACATTTAGGAACAGAGTGAATTGTGAATCCATTGTAGATAATTCATAAGAGCATATGCAACAATTAGGGTATCTGTTGACGTAGGAATATCATCTATAGAAAGACTACACTAGACAGCTATAAAACACATTTCTAGCATAGAAAAAAAAAAGGAGAGTTACATTCAAATTGTTTGAAGGACTATGCCTAAACTGCCCCTCTTTCACTCCCTTAAAAAACCATCCGAAAGTCCAAAGTGAACTAATTAGAGTCGATCAAGGATTAAATTTTGTCTGCACTCATAAATTTTAGCCAATCTCTTCTGTACTATCATGACTTAGGATCACGAGTACCATCATAAGATATACACATTCACAATATTGCATACGCATGTCATATATTGGCCCCCACAACTAGCTTATCAAGGCCATCGTTGCAACAAAAAATAAATGTCCAAGGGACACGTTGACTCCTTTTCAGTTGAGCTCATCCAAACAAGATCAATGTGCTACTATGACATCAAGCACAAATGATAAAAGTGAACTACAGAAAAGAGTTGACAAAGGAAAAGGGTTGTAAAACCCAGGATCTGTAATGTCATAGTTTAAGGGGTCACTTTCAGCAATCAATACCAAAGGTAGCAAAACATTCGAGTACACCAGAATAATGATTGGCAAATCATGAGGTTTGGACTTACTCATGTCATTTCCCCTCTCCTTGGAACTGTTTACACATTCTGAAACCTCAGCGTTTTTTTTCCTGATTGGGTAAATGTTTCCTCTGAAGTCTCAGCATGAATCTGGAGTACTGTTTGAACAGTCAAATGGTCCTGAGTTCGCATGAATCCAACATTCATTTCAAGTGATTCTGCTTCAGTTTCTGAGCATGAATCCTCTGCTTTCTTCAAAAACATAGTTCAGTCTGAAGTGAATGGTCAAGTAACCAAATACTGATAAAAAGCAGGAAGCCAATCCATAAAAAAAAATCAAGAAAGACATGTACAATACCTGAAAAGACAGGGAAGACCGACATGGAAGAAATCGATATGTGTTTCTGGCAAAAACTAGAGAACTGATAAATAAACCTGGTTAAGTTCTACTCCTAAGCTACTAGGAACTGCAACTGCAATTCGAGATGCAACACAGAATTACCGGATTGAAGCCAATGCCAAAGATTTCATACCACCCAGAATTAACGAAGAACCTATCATGTATCCATGTCTCACATCCAGAAATCAAGAGTTTGAAATTCTTTCTGTTAACTGTTTCCGAACTAGGCATAAAAGAAAGAAGAGTTTGCAGAGGCTTCACGAAAGCGAGAAGCAAAACCCCAACAGTCAGGTAAAAAACTACACAAGATTCATCATCAACAGCATAAGCATGGATGCACTGAAACAATTCTGACTGACAGTCTGAATCTCTCTCTGTCTATAACTACGATAAGCCAATGGTTGATCTTGCTTCTCGGAAAATCCATCTCCTCCTTCTTGGAGCAACTCAGAATCCCCCCTTCTGCAGCAGTTCAGGAATCAGAATCGAATTCACCAACTCGAAATCTCCCAGAACCAGTGGCGAAAGAGATGAAAGATTTGGACTTTTGTGCGTACCTCGTTCACCTTGTAGCGATCGCGGCTCACCTCCCAGAGCGAGTTCCCAGGGCAAATCGACTGCGGAGAAGAGAAAGCAGGGAAGTGATCAGCAATCGAAAGAAGAAGTAAGAAGAAGGAGAGAATTCGTGGGTGGCGGATGAAGAAATCGTGCTCCATCTATGGCTGCACACGCACGTCGACTTGTCGCTGGACGCTCCTGGGCCGCTTCGCCGGCTTGCGCGGCGCCTTCCGGCCGGTGATCGCGAAGAAGTCGGCGTCGATCTCCTGGCGCGTCAGCTCCACCGAGAACCCGCGGCTCGCCCTGGCGCCGCCGCCGCCGCCGCCGCCGGCGGCTTCCATGTTCCAGAGCTTCTTGTTCTGCAGCGCGTCCTCGCCGCCGTCCCGCCCGCCCTTCCGATACCGCAGGTTCCACTGCTTCCGCGGAGCTTCCTGCGCCGCCGCCGCCGCCACAGGAGCGTCGCCTCCTTTGGGCGGCGATCGGGAGGCGTTACGCTTGGGCTCCACGGCGTCTCCAGCAGCAGCGGCGGCGGCGGCGGCGTTGGGTTCGGAGCCGACCAAGGCGGCGGCGTCAAGGTCCCTGCAGAAAGCCATGGGCCTGCGGCACCCCCAGGCGGCGGGGAGGTCGAAGCTTCCGAACAACCCAGGGTCCCTCGGCCTCGGCGCCGCCACCGCCGGCGCCTCCGACATTGCTGCGGCAGCCGGGGTCACCGTCGCCGCCGGCGAGGACTCCATTGGCAAGAAAACCACACGCGCAGACAAAGAGAGGGGATTAACCAGAATGCGTGTTGTGTGCCGCGGAGCAGAGCAGCTTAGGTTTGCGATTGCATGAGGCGGCTATATATAGCGCGGATTAACCCTCTTCTCTTCGCTTCTCTTCTTCGATTGGAATGAAGAAGAAGAAGAGAGAGTAGAGAAGGGTGGGGGAAGAGAAAGGAAGAAGAGAAGGGAGCGAGGAAAATGCCGTGGTTTCCTTTTGGTTTTGGACGCGACTCCGACTCCCTCCGCTCCGCCGTGCTCCTGCGCCGCGCCGCCTCCGTGCGGGAGTTCGGTTCGGTTGCCCCCGCGGATTCTGGTCGCCGATTTGCCCCGTTTCTCGAGCCACATGGCCCGTGTGGACCGTCGGATTGTGATCCGGTGGCCGAGGAAGGGGTTGCCCACACCGGTTTATTTTGCCTTTTTTTTTCTCTCTCTCCTTTTGTTTACCAGTTTTTATGTTCATCTTTGTTAAAGAAAAAAGATCGGAGATATTTGCTCTTGTAGTATGTAAGAGACATGTGAGTAGTATGAACATGTATTTACCTTTCTTGTCATAAGATTAAATCAGACGAAATGTGTCTACGTATGCATCCGTATCAGGTTTATGATGTTCGTAGGCGTGTCACGTGCCTCGTCGGTCGCCTGTATCGTCAGCGTGATAGCCTTTTTTAAAGGCTGGAACGACAAACACTTACGTTTCGAGTTGAGTTCTAAAAGATAAGAAAAGGAATTAAAAGAATGGCATCTCCAGGATATATTTGGATACATGACGTGTACTTTTATTTGCTTCCAATTTATCTATGGCGTTAACTGAGCTAAATCCCTACGAGCTTTAATTGACGTGTCTGGCTTCCATCCTTATCTTCTAGACGTCCGTAAGAGTAAAATAAGCAAATATTAAAGCACTCTTTACGAAACCATGTAACACATAATTACAAAAAGTGCGAGTCAACATTGGGGCCACCAAAACTGCCCGGTGCCACATCTTTCATGCATTGCATTTTAAAGAAAAAACAATTTAAATTGTACAATCAAAACTTAAGATATGATGTCATAGGCACAATCATGTGTTACACATAGCAACTCATAGCCAGAGAATGGTGAGTATGTTATATCAACATCCATATCTTTTCGGTTGTAACTCTATTACAACATGAACAACTTTGATTTAGCTACTGCTTGTATAAAATGGCTAAGAATATTGCTCTTAACATTGTGATGAAGCATTTGGTTCATGGCCACAAACCATGATTGACTACGGTTTCTTAATCAACATAGCCTGGTTCTCATGAACTTATTTCTCCACCTCGAATTACCATGTTCTAAAGAAACATTTGCTAGTATAGAACGCCACACTTTGCTTAAGACTTTATGGGAGTTCTAACCTCACAGAACAAGCCATTAGAACTTGTAACTATGAAATGGAGTATATATATAGTGTAACAATGAGTACCATCTCGACAACAGTAGAAACTGGCATCACTAAAACATTACTTCATTTTTCAAAAAAAAAAGAGGCAAAACTTGTCAAAGGTTCACGTTCTTCATACATAGTCATATGCCCCATCGGTCATCTGTGTTGTCCGCTTGGTAGGCTTTTGTAAAGGTCGGAAATGATGAACACTTACCTTTGAATTCAACGAGACAAGAAAAAGAACAAAAAAGGATGACATCTCTAGGATACATTTAGATACATGACGTGTGCTTTTATTTGCTTCCAATATATCTCTAGCGTGGCGTTACCTAAACTAGCATCCTTACAAGCTTTAATTTATACGTCTGACTTCTATCCTTATCTTTCAATCCTCCATAAAAGTAACATAAGCAAATTAAAGAATTCTTTACAAAAACTTATACAACACCTAAATTACAAAAGGTGCTTGTTGATATTGTCGTCACCAAAACTGTGTGGTGTTGTTAATTTTTTGCATGGCATATTTTTTAATTGACTTGATTTTTTTTTTCAAAAAGCAATCTAGACTATAGAACCAAAAACTTAAGGGCTTGTTTAATTTGTTGCCACTTTTAGCCTTCTTACTACTTTAAACATACTTCAACCATTACTACTTTACCAATTTTTCTGCAGTTCTAGAAGCTTCCTCTCTTAGAACTATACAAAATTTGGCAAATACATCAAACCAAACAAAGCTAGTTCTACCAAAAATTTGGTAATGCCAAAATGTGGTAAAATTTGGCATTACCAAAATTTGAAATGGTTAATTTGGGCAACAAAGTGAAAAGGCCCTATGTCTCGTGATGCCAATGACACGATCACGAGTGTTGCGCATAGCGACTCATAGCATCGAGACGATGAGTGTATTATAGCAACACCCACATCGATAGTAGTAGCTCCATTACAACAAGAACTACATTCTTTTAGCTAATAACATAAAATGGTTGTAATAACACCACAATGCAACATTTGATTCATAGCCCATAACCATTAGGGAGCGAAACCAACATGGACTAAGGCTAGGGCTGGCCCATTATGTATGTTGGGCTGCACATCTGTTTTACACGATAAAAATCTATAATTGTCCATTATATGTTTACCACAGGTTTGGGGCCCCAGACCGTGACCCAATTGATTGCCCATGGCCTAAGTCTGCCTTGACAACTATGGTGCGCTGTACTTTCTTAATTTGTTAGCTTCTTGCCGTGAACTCATTTTGATCTCCACTTTAAATTGCCATAGTTCTCCTCAACTAATGTTTAGAACACCATATTTTGCTTAAGATTTTACGGGAATGGTGATCTCACCCAAATAAAGGCATTATAGCTCGTAAGTTGTATTTGTAATGTGAACTACCCTCTCCGTCCCAAAATAAGTGCAGCCGTAGGAATCCGTGTTCAACGTTTGACCGTCTGTCTTATTTAAAAATTTTATGAGAAAATTAAAATAAGTTAGTCACACATAAAGTAATATTCGTGTTTTATCATCTAATAACAATAAAAATATTAATCGTAGAAAAATTTCAAATAAAACGAATGGTCAAACATGAGACACAAATAGTGCAAAACTGCACTTATTTTGGGATGAAGGTAGTACTTTGTTTTGAAAAAGAAAACGCGGGAAAACCTGTTTTACCATGATTTATTATTTTTTTATACAATATAGAAAACACTATACCAAACTATTAACAGTAAGTATTTTATAGAAGAGAAGAAGAAACACTAAGCGCTATTCAAAAGAAAAACATATACGTCACGTACAGCAAGCCAGCCGAACGTCCCTAATAAAAACAAAGAAGCTAGCCACGTAAGATAATCCGCGCAATAAGTCAGATAACCGTCTGTTGCAACGCAATCGTACCTCGTTGACAGCAGGAGCAACCCGAAAACCACCGAACCTCTGACGACGCCGACGGGGCCGCGCGCCGTCCGCCCCCTGCTCGCGCCGCCCCAAGGCGATCACACGACGCGCTCCCGCACACGCAGCGGCTGCGGCGCGCATCACCACCAAAATCGCGGCCCCGCCGCTGCACCCAAAAACCGCCTCCGCCACCGCTTACCCATCCACGGATCCATCCGTCAGAATCACACGAGGCGCCGAGCGCGGAGACGGGGAAAAACCCAAAAAAAAAACGCATACGCCACACGCCCACACGCCCACGGCTCGGCTCGTCTCGTCTCGTCTCTCCCTCTCTCTTTTTTAAAACCTGACCCGCAACATCACCCTCGCCTTCTCTCTTTCTTCCGGCTTCCTCTTCCTCTTCCCTCCTCGCACCCACCTCACCTCACCTCCCTCTTCTCATGGTCCTCATGGCCGCCTCCGCCTCCGCCGCCGCCTCCGACCACCACACGGCGCAGGCGAAATCCTCCCCCTCGGCGGCTCCCCCGGCCGGCTCCGCCACCCGCACTCGCCTCCACAGCTTCTCCTTCCCGACCACCTTCGGTTGGGGCACCCATCGCCTCCTCCGCTGCTCCAAGAACGGGGACTCCGCTCCCGCCTCCGCCTCGCCTCCGAAGCAGCCGCACACCCCGTCGCCGGAGAAGGGGCAGGAGACCTCCGCTGGCGGCGCCTCTCGGCCGTCGCGGCCTTGGAACCTCCGCACACGCCGCTCCGCCACCGTGGCGCCCGACGCGTCGAGATCGGAGGCCGCGGGGAAGAAGGCGGCGGCGGCGGCGGGAGGAGGGCAGGCGCTGCTGCACCCGCCTGCGCCGTTGCCGGTGGTCGCCAAGAAGAGGGGCTTCTCCGTTGCGCTCACCAGGGAGGAGATCGTCGCCGACTTCATCGCCATCCGCGGCACGGCGCCGCCGCGCCGGCCCAAGAAGCGCCCGCGCGCCGTGCGGCTCGAGCTTGATGTAAGGATTTTGGAGCCTCCGCGTGCGCTTCATGATTCCTAATTTTTGGGTCTCGATCGGGGGGTGCTCAATTTTTGTTCGGTTTTGGTTCGAATTGCAGCGGCTGTATCCCGGATTATCGCTGGCGGACGTGAACCTGGATTCGTACAAGATCGTCGAGGAGGTGAGATATCGCTCGATACGTTTGATGTGTTCCTTCGCCCAAAAAATTTGGTTCTTTTCTTCATGTGTGTTTTCCTCTTGCAGAGGTGATTGGCGCCAGCGCGGTGAAGTCTGCAAATGAGAGCAACTTTTCAGATGTTCCCATGTTTTGCTTTTTTTTCTTCTGACGGCTAACATGTCCATCCAATAATTATGTTGGTTCTTCTAGATCAGAGGATGGATATAGATTTTATGGTTGATTGTGAATAGGTTTTCTAATTAGAAGAAAGGTGGAATCGTATGCGATGTTTGTGCCCTGTGGCATATGTGGTGTGATGTTTGGTTAGCTGTCATGTTATGTACATGGTTTCAGTCTGTGAAATATTTCTTTCGGTGCAAATCGCTTCAACTCTGCAAGTTGTTGGCTGTGATATCACTATGTGGTTTTGTAGTGTTAGTGAGGATGATATTTCCTTGTATTAAGCTCTACTTTCTGCATTGCATAGATAGAGGGAAAAAGATGCAGCTTTGGTTTCTCTGCAGGGCATATATCATGTCTTGAGTTGGACATTGATACCGAAGAAAATGAAAGTGTACTTGGGGTGCAACAAAGTGGTTTGAAAAGAGAAAAAGAAATCTCAGCTAGTGAAATTCAGGTAGGAAATCAAACTAGTTATCAAGGGTGCGCTTTGTTATAATCTCCTGCTTGTAAGTATAGCTTGCATTAATTTTTTTTAACAGAACGGCAAAATCATTGCCAATTTTCAATTAAGAAAGGTGTTAGCTGGCATTAATTACCTCTTCCAGAATTAGTTGTTCATTTTTACATATACCTTTGTTCAATATATTTGTTCATTTTGCAATATTCTGTTGTTTGCAAAAGCTGGTGCACATCATTCTTGCTTCTCGAATGCTGATACTTCTGTTTTTCGTCTGATCTCTGTTTTGCACTTTTGGAGGAGACGAAGTGTTCACTAGTCATATCCTGACACTGCTTATTAGAACGATTTGCTAAGTGCATTAATAATTTGAACTTCTGCTTATCGTTCTTGACATTTGGAACACCAGTTGTGTACCTGTGTGCACTATGCAGGAGCTGAAAGACTGCTTGATTGTTGCATTGCGTCCTTTTTCCATACTCACTTAGCAATCTAATTATGCACTAATTTAGTATTCTGATGACATCCATGGTGAGTCGGTAATCAGGTTTTTAAGTTATGCACGGTTGTGTTCGGAGCTGGTGTTATTGGATTATTTGATTGACAGTATGCCCTGGTGTTTTTAGGCTGCAGGTGAGTCTGGGACTTCAATTTTGTCTGTCTGATCATTTCCTATGATTGATTTTTTATTTTGTAAATCAAGAGTTAAAACTTAATAGTGCTTCATGTTCACGATTTACAATTTTACATGTTGCACATAATTGGTTGATTTGGTTCCAGTGGTTTGCATTATATGTCTGATGCGGGTCTCCATCCAGCCTGTAGTGTCAATGTTTTACTCTTGCAGACGCAGAATGGTGGTACAAGTAGTCATTTTACTTCTGCTGTGGTCCTGTGGACATCAAATTTCAGAAATTCCATGTTAGGTTTATGAGTTATTTTTCAGGTAAAATGCTTATCTTTTTTGGCTGAACCATCAGTATCTCCAGGCTTTGTTCCTGACAGGTAGTGCCGTTTGGCTAGAGCTAGATGATGTTCTTCACTCTTGAGTGGCTTGATGCATGATCAGTGCGCCCTTCCAGCCGTTCCAGTTCTCCATAGTCCAGATTTGCTTCTTGTGGCTACTGACTAACTGAAACTAGTAATTATTAGCATACCTATATACTGATCATGTTTAAAATATCTGCTGGATTAATTCATATGAATTTTGGCGAAAGCAATATTGTTGAGTGCCTTTTGGACGTGTCCGTTCTCTTCTTTTTCATGGACATGTCGCTGGTGTTGTAATCGCACAAGAGAGTGTGTTTGTTCAAACTAGTGCAGAACTGCGTTGATGAGATAGTGTACATTTGTGCCAACTCCCTACCCAATTATCCTTCGAACGTCTTTTGTCATCCTCGAGATGTGACTTTACTGTACTTTCTGAATGCCTCATTTGGTGATGTGAGAACCTTCAAAAAATCCAACATGGGGAATGTTTCTCTGAACGTGTGGCATGCAGCACACGACATCAAGATCACACTCCAAGGGGATAGCCTGACCAATCTTTCAGACACATTGTAATTTTTAGAAATCCATTGACTATCTTAAGCTTCCAAATATCTAACTCCTGCAATTGGATTGGGAAGAACAGCACAAAACATTCCCTCAGATGTACAACAAGTGTTCTGTAATTACAGTTGATGTTCCACATTGCAGTACATGAAAGGCTGGGGATGAGACTGAGAGGCCCTTTCGTTAGTCTGGCCCATACCTTGACTGTCTCATCCAGTACAGCAATCCTGCAAAATAGGCCGGAGGCAAAGCCTGGAAGTGATATTGCACAGTACGAAATTTGATCATGTCAAGAAACAGTGACGAGTTCTGATATCTGAATCCTTCATGTGGTAAAGTTAGAGCGTAGCTTGAACACTCTTGTGAACATCCTTTCCTACTATTGGATGAGACGATCAGAGGATATGAAATTGTTGGCCAAGGCTGACGCGGCCCAGCACACTTAAACTGTCTGATACTCTGTCAGTCTATTGGCTCAAATAACGGTGCATTTGCTCGTCAGTTCTTTTTTCTTTTTCAAACTAAATTGGCCAATTATATTTCAATAAGCAGAAGTAAAAATGCAAAAAGCTAATGATGACGGAGCCCAAACGCAGGTCTATCATTCTGTTGTTAACCACAACTAGTAGTCCGGTTCAATCCCTTCTGACTAGTAAGGAAGTACTCCTTCCGTCCGTGAATATAAGGGATTCTACTATTTGTTTTTACAAAAATTAAGATAATAGTAAAAGAACAAATCACGATACAAATGGTTGGAAGAACAAAGTAGTAAAAAAGTGATTAGACGGGAAACCCATCAATACAAAAGGTGATAAGTGAAAAATAAACTATATAAAAGATGATAAGTGAGGAATAAAGTACTGTCTTGGGATTACAAAATTACTTATATTTTCATATAAATTTAAAGGGTATAATTCCTTACTTCCTCCGTTTCACAATGTAAGTTATTCTAGCATTTTTCATATTCATATTGATGTTAATGAATCTAACATCAATATGAATGTGGAAAATGCTAGAATAACTTACATTGTGAAACGGAGGGAGTATATTTTAGGATGAAATGAAAGGAGTAGTGAAATAGCCGTATGACAGCTTGACTGCAGTTGCTGGGCTTCTGCAGGGTTGCGATGCTGCATTCTATTTGGGCCGAGCCGTCCCCAAGAATCTACTTACTTGCGATTATCCAGGAGACTTGGCATTCGTATACTGCAGCGATGATACAGGCAAAAGTACTGGACTGGAGTATACTGAAATAGGGAGTACAGTACCATAGAGCAGTGGTATAGTACTGCGACATTATATTACAGTAGAACCGCTTCGAGCAAAACACAGTACTTGCATTGCTGCTAATCATGGCGATTTGAGGGCAGGTGATCGATGACTGTGTATAAAAAGCCTGGCTTATGTCGGACGTGTCGCCTACAAGGTATACATACGCATAAAACAATGTACAACTCTGCATACAACGTACACATACGCGTACCAACCGACCATGTGAAGTGCAATTTTTTTTGAAAAAGAAAAAGAAAAAAATGACCAGAAACTTCTGGAAGCGAGTATCCAATGCCTGAAGTCCGCGACAGTATAAAACGATGCTGAAAATCTGATGCGGTAGACTGCTGCTGTAGAATCCAAACAAGAAAGAAAACAATCCAAAAGAGAGTGAAAATCGTAATGCCACTGAATTCCAGCTCTTTGACCGTACGGGAAAACTGGAGAGGAGGGGTAAAAGAAAAAAAACAGAAAGAAAGAAAGAAAGAAAGAAAGAAAGAAAGAAAAAAGAGTAGGAGACGGGGACGAATTTGTTTGTTCCTAGCTGGCAACAGCAAGAACACCAGGCACCAACCCACACGCCCAACACAATCCTTCTCCCCCTCGATCAGTAATCACACACTAAGCGTGGCATTACCCATCCAATCATCCCAACAACAACCAGCTGGAAAATGGATGGAACATGTCAAGCATCCACCATGGCATTAGCCACCTCAAACTACTACTACTAGCAGCAGCAGCAGGAGGAGGATTAATTAAACAAACAAAACAAACAAAACCAAACCAAAAAAAATTCAGCTCCGGAAATAGAGCAGGTCACCCGTTGCACTGCAACAAACACTGATGAAAAATCATATACTAGACTGTACTCATTATCTGTCTCAAAATTCTGAACACGGTGGATAATTAGATGATTAGTACTACTCACTACATACATACAGTGCCGCGGTTAGGAGGAGAGCGATGTGATGAATCACCACCTCTCCAAGAAAGAGTACACAAATTCTGCTGCAATGAAGAAGAACACTTCTCATCAGTTGCATAGCTTAGCTTCTCTCTCTCTACGTTAATTACCTTTGTCTCTTCTTTCTATGTCACTGGCTACTTTTTCTGGGCCCACCGAGCAGTGTCAGAGAAGGGCGCCGCCGGGACACTGGAAAATTGGCGGCCTAAACCCTCGAACCCCCAAAAGCCTTCAATGAAGTGACTGCGGCGCCGTGCGGCGGCGGCGGCGGCGGCGAGCTCACCCCACCATGTCGCAGTACTGCATCCGCGGCAACCGGAGCAGCCGCGGCGGCAACGTCGGCGGCGGCGGCGGCTCTGGTTCCGTCTCCATGGCGTACAGGTAGTCGTTGGTGCCCTCGCTGCGCGGTGGCGGTGACTGATCGGCGAGGAAGCTGCGGATGGTGGCGAGGCCTGGGCCGCGCACGTCGCGCTCCCAGGAGGCGGACTCGGCGGCGGAGCCCGCCCGCGTGAGCCTGGCGCGGACTGTGTCGGAGGCGTCGAGGCGGTGGATGGGCCAGCCCCAGGCGTCGGACATGCGGCGGATCTTGGACACCTGCGCGGCGGCGAGGACGCGGGTGTTGGCTTTGATGTCGTCGATCGCCTCGGAGAAGGTCTTGCGCCCGGCGAAGTAGTCGCCGAGCTCGGGGACGCCGATGGCCTTGCCCAGCCCGGAGTGCGCGGCGCGCTCCGCGGCGGTTGTCGTGGCGAAGTACTCCCGGAGCTCCTCGACCATGCCAGCGTCCACCATGTCGTCCACGCGGCGGTCGAGGTACTCGTCGAGGAGCGCCTCATCGACGTGGACCCAGAGCAGGCAGCACGGGAACCGGAGCGCCGGGCGGTAGTGGCGGAAGGCGGCGGCGGGGGAGAAGGGATCGCCAGCGGAGGCGTCGAAGTGGTCGGCGAGGAGGGCGTGGATGAGGGAGTTCGACCCACCGGCGATGACCGGCACGAGCCGCCTCGCCGCGATCGACGCGGCCGTGGCGGCGGCGAGGGACCGGAAGGACGACGGCGGGAGCTCGCCGGCCTCGGGGCGGATGGCTCCGAGGAGGTGGTGCGGCACGCCACGGCGGTCGGCGAGGCTCACCTTGTTGGTGGTCACGTCGAGGCCGTCATAGAGCTGAATCTTGTCGGCGTTGACAACCTCGCCGCCGATCACCTTGGCGGCGTCGATGGACAGCTTGGTCTTCCCGGTGCCCGTGGCGCCGACGATCACCACCATCCTCGTATCCTCGCCGCCGGGCCGGCGGTGGAGCCGCAATGGCCGGCTCGCCGCCGCCGCGGCCCGCACGAGCGTGGCAATCCTGGTGGCAACGCTGGTCATGTAGGGGAAACTAGAAAGGGAGACTAGACCTCTCCTCCAATCCTGATTAGGCCGCCTTATGACCTTGTTTTGTCCGTTCCTAATCACAAAACGCTCATGTGCTTGTTGCTTCCGTCTCACATCTCCCAAATTCTCTCTCTCTCTCTTACCCCCGGGCTTCTCTTTGTTTTTTTTTTTGCGCGAAACTGGGTCTGATTTTTGTTTCTACCCGCCTAAAAATTCTCTTTGGCTTGTGCGTATACGCGGCACACGCAGACGCAGGGCAGTAGTGGGTCGCTTGGCATTGTGCGCACAACGCAGTAGTAGTAGCAGCCGAGGAGACTAGACATGGCCGCGGCGTCGCGTGCTTAAATAATAAGCCGGAGGCGGAGCCAAGCACCCGTATCCTGGCGCGCCGGGACGTGACGCGATCACGCGACGCGACGACCGGGTGGAATGCAAGTGGGGGACCCGGCATACGGCGCCGCGGTGGTGTGTGCAAGCGTTGGATTCGGCAAAGCCACAAACCGGCGCGCGGCTGGCTGGGCTGGGTTGGTCGTCCACCTGAAGGGGGAGTTCGCGCGGGGTCGTGGTCCCTGTCTCACCGTGCGCGGGGTCGCGGGCTCTCGCGCCCGCGGGAAACGCAGAATTCTCCTGTATTTTCGGGGTTTTCCCCCGCCTTTCGGCGACGCAGGCCGCCGCTTCGTGTGGCGCCTAGACTACTGGCCGGTGACGGTGAGTGCAGCCACCGGTGCACGCTCCCATCCCGGCAAGAAAAAAAAAAAAAGAGGAGACAACCCGAGCGGCTGGCTGGTCGCGAGTCCGCGTACTACTACTACTACTACTGGTAGTACGTGGTAGCGACCTCGGTTCGGTCGGTGGACGGTGATACGTTTTTTTGACTTTTGGCGATCATCGGCGACGCTTGGGGTAATACGATCCCATGTCGTTCTCTTTTCCGGGAGACAAAGCGATTGATACGCCCAGGTTCGGGTGCCGTTGAAAATCCCGGACGGTGCTGCGTCGTCGTGCCACTGCGCCGTGGGACCCTCGTAAATCTAGCGATTGCCGCTGCCCCTCCAGCGTGCGGCAGCCACACGACGGACGGCAATGGAATGGAGAGAATTTGGGGGTTTGGAGATAAGCCTCCCAGATTGGTGCTAACAACGTCTGTACCCATCACTTGCACTCTCGCACGGTCACATGGCTATACTAGCGCCCATGGCAGATCGGCAGAGGCTAGTACGTAGTACGTGGCCAGGGCTATATATATTTCTTCCCCTTGGCTTGTTTGCGGCGATGGATTGGCTCGGACACTGTCGATCGACTACAGCTACTACTACAGCTACAGCTGCAGCTGCTGGGATCTGTGCAGCTGCAGGATTGGGCCAGCCTTTCTTTCTCGCGAGGCTCTGAATTCTGATCTGATGAAAAGATGCCTCGAGGAATGACTGGCTCATCAAAGAGCACGCAGGTTCTTGGCATGGGTTTCGTTTCGTTTCGATGAGGGTCCATCTGTACTCGCCTGCGGCCTGCAAAGAGCTGCTGCCCACAGTACTGTTCCAAGTAGTTTTATTGTGCTGGAAACATTTGTGTACTGTGACTTGAATGTCCTCCAAGTACTGTACTACTGTGCGTTTGAATGTGGTCAGGCTGGTTAGAAGTACTACGAGTACTCCTACCCTGCAGTAGTTTTGGAGATTTCACCGGTCATACTCCCTCTATCCAAAAAGTTTAGGTCACAATATTACAATTTTCTCATTTTCTATAATCAAAACCATGAAAAAATCAACTCAATGCACATGTAACAAATTAAAAAAAGCTACACTAATATATACAACATATAAATATATATTAAGATAACTACTTGGGTTCGGATCAATAATTTAATTTAGCACTGCGACAATATGAAAAGATAATCTCTACATTTAAGTCTTGAATATAAATATGACCATCTCATTTATTAAAAAATATAAAAAATATGCTTAAGACTTTTAAATGGAGGGAGCAGATCATAACATTAATTTTGCGCTTTAATTTAGCATTGTGACATTATGAAAAGATAATCTCTACATTTCAGTCTCGAATATAAATATAACCATCTCATTTATTAAAAAATATAAAAAATATGCTTAAGACTTTTAAATGGAAGGAGCAGACCATATCATTAATTTTAGGCAAAATTGGTTATATAGCATCGAAAGTTCACGTTTTTGGTTTTATAGCACCGAAAGATACCGGTTCACTTTAATAGCAACCAAAGTTTACCCTGTTCCCATTTTTAGCACTTCCGTCAATTTTTCCGTCCGTCTTGATCGTTATTGACCTAGCTACGCACACGATATGACGTTTCTACCCCTCATTAACATGCATTCTACTTGTACTTGTGAGGGGTAGAAACATTATATTGTGTGTGTGGCTGGATCAAGACGGACGGAAAACGATTGAGAATTGACGGAAGTGCTAAAAATGGGAACAGGGTGAACTTTGGGTGCTATTAAAGTGAACCGGTATCTTTCGGTGCTATAAAATAAAAAACGTGAACTTTCGATGCTATATAACCAATTTTTCCTTAATTTTACGCTCCTCTCAAAATTTTGTCAAATAGCAACGTCCAAAAAATGCCATTGCTGTTGTAGGAAATATTCCCTTATTTGATATGGTAATTTTATCTTAAACTATTTTTCCTATATTTTTTTTATGTTTTGAACTAATCAGCATCAAATATTAAGGGATAAATGTAGTGTTATAAGAGTTCGTGGGTATAAAATGGAGATCTTATATGAGCCATGAAATTGACTCTAGCTAGGTGAATGGAAATGTCACATTGCTTGGTCACATGACTCGGTCACTTGAAAGGTGACTCCATGACCAAACGGAGGAAGGTTCGAAATATAAGATGAGAAACAATCTTTAGAGGAAGAGTTAGTAGGAGTACGTGATTATTTTGTACTCCGTCGTTGACATGCATATATATTGTTGCGTTGCTATCAAGCGAGAAAACTGACAGGTCAGCTCACCATGGCCGTAATATTTGGAACGGCAACGAATTGTTTCCCTTTCAAGAACAACTTGAACTAATTTTGAATTGTCACTTACGTGTGTGAGAAATTTCGTCATCGTATCACATGAATTCCCTCTAAAATACTACTGCTTTCTGAAGGTTGGCTTCAAGCGAGTGAGAGAGACCCCTGCTTTATTCTTACATATACTTGCCAAATCCTTTTGCATTCTTCCACAGAGAAAGGGTGGAAGAGATGCGCGAGGACTTGGGGCTTGTTTGACATTTTGATTGTGACACTAGTAAATTCTGCTGCTAAGGCCCTTGTTTGTGATAACTGAAATCGATGGATTATTTGATTTTTATGGTAACCATTTGAGGATATATACAGATGAATAAATTAACTGCTATAGAGTTGAAAAAGTTGCTTTAAAAAGTATCCCATGAAAAATTTGCATACTCTAGTATTTTATATGAAACGTATCGTTTAGTAGCTTTAGAAGCGTGCAAATGAAAATCTAGAATCCAGAATCAGAAAAGAACATGGCCGAATTCATGCACTTGCACCTGGAGCATCAAAGCTAGAGTATAAACAAAGAACATTGCAAAAGTTTTTGGTTGGCATTTTTTATCAACTTCCAAAAGCAAAGGTTGGATTGACAAATATAATCCGATACCTCGTCTGTGCACGCGCTTATAGGTCAGAGCCCATAACCTTGCGCTGCACATATCCTTTGCCATTAGGTTGGCATATTTCGGCTGCAGTTGGATTCTCATATCGAATCAACTTGTTCTCACTGTTTTTCATCACAAAAAAAATTCTTGATTAGAACCAAATGAGGAAAATCTGTGGCAGTATCGAGATCTATACGAACCCCAATTATTTAGGCGATCGAATCCCTCAAAAGCCATGCATGGCGTCAAAAGCGTCCGTTGATTATTAAGGATCGATGGATGCATGCAGAGACGACTGCGTACGACACAAGTGGGTTCACATCCTCTATCATAATATCACTGTCACTACAACTATCACTACAGACACTAACGTGTAGATCGAACAATAAGAGAGTATGACTCACAACCAGTGACTATAATAGTAGTTATACATTATAGTAGAGAATCCTCACCGGACAAAAATGAGCTGCACCAAAGCACCAGATATTATGCGATCGCGGCCACAGTTTGGACTCTGGGAGGATGTGGTGTACGTTGTTCATCAGCAAGAGAATTTTGTGTGAAATGGTACTGATGCACATACATTTCGGTACCTTTCTTTTGCTACGGAAAGATGGAGGGTATATTGATCGGGATCTTGTTTCGCCAAAAGGAAGTACTCCAGTACGTACAGAAATCGATACGTATTTGTTACGGCCCTTTTGATGTGCCCGGCCACTTACTCCAGTGGAATCGAATCAAGATGTGGCATGTCTTCTCGATCAGGGCTGTCCGTCCTCGATCGCAAGATGGTCGTCCATGTGCCTGTCGTTGGCACTCTGGTTAATTCCATGTGCCCAAACAAAAAAAAAACAAATAAACGGCTTATATAAGAGTAAAATTATGTGGGCGGATGCATTTCAATAACAATTTAGTGAGTTCGCAGATTTATCATTATCCTCGAATATGTGTTGTGCATTTCATAATACCACACGTATATTGTGTGCAAGTGAATGTTGTTGTATGTATATGTGTATCTTCAACAAGGACAAGAGGTTGTTCGGTATTCTTGCCATTGCTTGGGAAATCTGGAGAAAAATGATTGTGGGAATCTTTAGAGGGAAAGAGGCAACAATCCATCAAATAATCAATCGCATCCAATAGGAGTTGGGATGGTGGGACTCACCGGCATAAAGCACATCAGGAGAATGTTGCCATGAGGTGTAAGGAGAGTTGACGTGCAAGTTTGTTTGCACTCGAATTTGTACTTTTTTTTTCTTTTGGCCTTTAGCTGTGTGTACTTAAACTCCCTTCTATCAATATAAGACAAGTCTAATCAGACTGACCGTTCAAAAAGAAAAAAAAGTTGTTCGGCTATGATTTTTAGAGTAGTAAGCCATGTCTACCAGGGTTTACGTTACCGCCGGTAACCGCATGGTTACCGCGGGGGTACGGTAATATAAATACCACGGTAACCTCTTTAAATTCAAATAAATTTTAAAAATAATTTGAATTTTTGATAAATTCGGTATGGTTTTGTACGGTTTTTCACGGTTACCGCGATTACTGTGCTTACCGCCGGGGTACGGTAACCCCGGCCCCGGCGGTTTGGGAAACCCTGGCGTCTACTACTCACGGCTATACCCGCAACCACAAAAATAACGGCCAAACAAGCACAATGTT